CAATTTTCTCTCAAGTTCAAGAACATTATTTTCAAACATGCTTCCAATCACACTTTAGATGTTAATTTCAAACACATTCGATTTTTTGAGATCGGAGACTAATTTTTTACAAATAGTGTACCTGTTAGATTGAACATATTAAATAAAAAAATCAAACAAATTGTAAACCTCAACATATTGAACACAAAAACCTAAACAACATCAAAATCAACCAAAATATAAACACATTGAATAAAAAATCAGAAATAATATAAACCTGGACATTTAGATTGATTATTTATAGAATTGGTGAATAAAACTTTAAAGAAGGTGTAGTTGAAACAACTCTAAATCTTGTATGTCCTTAGATTTTGCTTGATTTGGAGCTTGAATGAGTTGGAATCTTTGAGCTACTGGAATTGATTCTTCATTTTGAAAGTACCGTTATCTTTACGGCTTATTGGTTGAAATTTACATTATTCGCTTTTTAATACATATTTAGCATGATTTTTCAAAATGATCCTAAAAATAAGGGTATTTGTGTAAGTTCCCCAAAAATGAATATGTGTAAAATATTTTGGATCGAATTATTGAATTAGATATCTGCTAACATAGCAAATCGACTATGAATTTAACAATCAAATATCCGTTAAATTATCAAATCGAATAGAATCCAAGAATTATTCTTATTGGATCGGATCGAATATGGACAGATCTGGTCCATATTCGATTTATTTACAGCCCTAAGTAGGGCCCACCCCTTATAGGCGGAGAATGGGGATGTGATGGCAGGATAGTTTTCTTGTCCATGAATATGTCAGTGCCCCGATTTGTCTAATTAATTAAAAATAAAAAGATTCAAAATTTGCTAGTTCATCTTTCTGCCCAGCTTTTTATATGTACAAATTGAAACGACGCAACCTCGTTAGTCCAATTTTCAAATTATCCAATTTGTAAGGGGGAAAAAAAAAATTAATAAGAGGTATTGCCTCACCCCGCCACTGCCTTAAATAGTGATCAAGTTGAGGACGAACGGTCCCCCTCCCGTAACCATACCTTGTGAAGAGAAGGAGAAAATAAACTAAATTTCTCCGTGATTTATTTATTTAAATTATTATTTTTTCCCCCATGATAGTATTTCTGGTAAATTGTGCCATGTCCAAACAGACAAAATGGATACAAATAGTATTGTGATCTCATATTCTAATAAAATTAAATAATATTATTTATAAGGGGAACCGCTATTTACATCTATATATATCCACTTATAAAAAGAAAATTATATTATATTTCTAAACTTATATAAATTAAATTAAATAAACTTTCAATCAAATATATCATTCTAAATTTATCCACAAATATTTATTTTAATTAAATTATTTTCGACCTTTTTATAAAACCCAAATATCCATAAAATATTCTTCTCAACTAAAATCAAAACAATAGAACTGGAAGAAACATCATTAGCGCAAATACATACCGACATAGAAATATATTTAAAAGAGTTTTAAAAAAAAGTAAGGATTACCTTTTGTCGTGGATTTCATGAATTTAGTATGTGAATAATTCTTAATTTATGTTTGGGTTATTTGATAATGTGTTTTTTGAATTCAAGTAGTATCAATAAAAAAATTCATTTCGAATTATTTGAGTTTTCTGTCGGGATTATCTTTTCTTTTCTTGATTTTCTTTAATTAAAAGCATTGCTGCCTATTATTTGTGTTAGGATTATCAAAAATAATTTGATTTTTCTGTTGAGATTATTTTTTTCTCCTTGATTTTCTTAAATTCAAAATAACGGTGGCTAATCTGCTAGGATTATCAAAACAATTAAAGAAATTTAACCGTGTATTGATGACAATGATTGAAAACATGAAAGGATTATGAGTGAATTATGATAAGGTAGATATATAAAAATGATGAGATAAATATATAAAAACTGTGTGGATATATAGATATATAAAAAATGTGTAAATAAATATATGAAAAGATTAAAGGAATTATAATGTGATAGATATATAAAAAGGGCATCGAGTATAGTGTTAAATGAATGAATTTAATTAGGGGTGGCCAAAATAACAAAACTAAACTATACCATGATAGAAAAAAATATAATAGGATTATCGACCAATACAATAATCAAATCCTTAATTCTCAATAATAACGATAAATCTTACTCCATGTTGAAATCCGAAAAAATAACAAAATATAAAAAAAAAACGTACATTGATACATGATAATCTGATTCTTTTCCCGGTTATGTTAGGATCTTCCAAATGATTGATTATCTTCCCTTAGCTTTTGCTCTCTATTGATGGGGATGTAGATAAATTTGAAAAACACCAACAAATGGAAACCATAACCATATAAAATAATAGTAGTAACTCAATAGTCACTATCTTTTAGTTGCTTCAAATTGACCTCTCGTCAATTTAAAACAATATTCCAGTTTCTACACTATAATTCCATGAATTCTAATACCGATTAGTTACAATGCATTTTTATCGGATCACTTTAATTGACTAATATTCTTTAAATAATAGCACCACACATTTTGATATAAAACATGTGGCTCCATATATGTTGAATCCAACATACGAAACCAAGCAGTTTGGTTCGGCTCTACAAAAAAATTAAATGGTTCTAGTTCTTAGAACTGATTACCATTTGATTCTGATTTTGGTTCGATTCTAGAATCGATCACGAATCAAACCAAAAATCAAACTCAATGTTTAAATTTTATTATATTATATATATTTACAAATTAGTGAATCACAATTCATAAACAAAAATTCAAAATTCATTTGAAAATCAAGACAAAAAAGTCATATATCTTCCATTTCTCATTTTTTAATGTAGAGTTGGAAACCCTAATTCGTTTTGGAAACTCAAATCCTAATTCATTTCTCATTTTCTCTCATTTTTAATTTATACACCGACTCTTGAACGGAGATCATCAACTACCATTTGTCATCTATCGTCACGATCAACTACCATCGTCGCATGGATTTCTAAAATTGAAGCATTAATCTTCGATTCTTCTTTCTCAATTGTTATTTTCCTTTTTTCTCAATCAATAATGAAATTTGAACCAAATCAAACAAAACAAAACCAAACCAGAACCGAAGATTAAAAAACTTTGAGAATTGAGACTCCAAACTCCCTAGTGCTATTTTCCCTTTACACAAGCATTTAAATTTGAAATTAAAAAATTATAGACCAACAGCAAAACTCATCGCAAAGCGGAGAGGTCAAAGTAAACTTGTTTAGAGTCAAAATTGGCGAATTGTCATGGGATTGGCCTGCTCAGTCAATTTGACGCCTTCAAACATGTTTGAAAGTCTTCAAGAATTCTTTTTTTATTTTATTTTATTTAAAGATTAGTTAAATATTATCAATTATTAAAAATAATTAAATTAAAAATCATAATGCCGACATCTAGAATATGTTTGATAAACGAATTAAATGCCATCGGACAATAATTAAACAGGGAATTTTTTTATTTTTTTTTTTGGTTGATATTATTTAGCTTTATACTGCACTCCCAACACCAAAATACTCATTCATGTCAAAAGCATGATATTCCGTTCAAATTTGAACTAATTCCCAGAATTTCTTCCCACCCAGAATAATAATAATTACACTAATTTCTCCACAGTACGATACGTTCAGATAATAGGACGAAAACGAAACGATAAATTGAAACAACAATTTTTCATCCATTAGATTGATGAGCACATAATAGTAATAGTAACCAGCTGGCAGAAGCCAATCACTAATATCCACAACCCTACAATGGACCCCACTTCACGTGATCATCATCACGACCCCTTATCTGACGCAACGTGGCATCAGTACAAAAGATGATGACACGTGTTGCTTTTCGTGGGACGCCACAACTCGGGACCTGAACCAGCGACAAAATTTTGAAAGCCACTGGTAAGACTATAAATACTATTTTTCTCAAAATGACCCTTCCTCTCAGTCCCTACTTCGTCGTCATCTTAAGGGTAAAATGGTAAAAACACATGGAACGGTTTACGGTCAAAACAGATAACCTGAGTTCGTTTGAGATAATTTAATTGCTTTTAATTCTTAACCAATTTCAAGTTATTTGCGTGGATAACATTATTTATTTATGGGAGATTTATCCAATCCAATGTAGCTGTAGTTAAAAGTTTATTATTATATCAAAAATGTTTTATTCGTAAACTGGATAAACTTAAATATGACGTGGCAGTCTACTATTTGTCGAATTATTCAGTCCCGTAAATAATTAGAGAGAGAAATCCTTATCCGCTTCAACGCTTTATAAAAGCAGACCAAAACCCCCATTTCAAAAGTATCACAAACTGCACAAATACATACATAAAGAGAGATTTTTAAGCAAAAAAAAGGATATAAATCCCACATCGAATAATGATGTAGACACAGACCAATTAATAAAGATCTTGGGCTACTCCTCTTAATAAGGTTGACCTTTTAAGATGGACCCCAAATCTTAATACGTGTTGCTTTTCGTGGGACGCCACAACTCGGGACCTGAACCAGCGACAAAATTTTGAAAGCCACTAGTAAGACTATAAATATATTTTTCTCAAAATGACCCTTCCTCTCAGTCCCTACTTCGTCGTCATCTTAAGGGTAAAATGGTAAAAACACATGGAACGGATTGCGGTCAAAACAGATAACCTGAGTTCGTTTGAGATAATTTAATTGCTTTTAATTCTTAACCAATTTCAAGTGATTTATGGGAGATTTATCCAATCCAATGTAGCTGTAGTTAAAAGTTTATTATTATATCAAAAATATTTTATTCGTAAACTGGATAAACTTAAATATGACGTGGCAGTCTACTATTTGTCAAATTATTCAGTCCCGTAAATAATTAGAGAGAGAAATCCTTATCCGCTTCAACGCTTTATAAAAGCAGACCAAAACCCCCATTTCAAAAGTATCACAAACTGCACAAATACATACATAAAGAGAGATTTTTAAGCAAAAATCAGTGAATATAATCAATGGCGGCATCAAAAACCTACAGATTCCTCCCGACGGAGCAGAAACCCACCAAAGATTCGGTGATCTTGGAGCTCGACGAGTCCGATATCTGGAACACGGATGCTAGATCGGCTTCACCGGAGTTCCGGAAAGCCAGTTCGAGATTCTCCCGAAAGCCGTCTACGGTGGCGAGGGGAGTCGCCGTCACTGGACCGGCATCCCTGCCGGTGAATATACCGGACTGGTCGAAGATACTGAAGGGAGAGTACAGGGAGAATCACCGGAGGGACGTCGATGAGAATGACTTTTCAGATGACGATGAGGATTCGGAAAATCGCGTTCCGCCGCACGAGATTTTGGCGAAGCAAATGGCGAGAACAAGGATCGCTTCCTTCTCACTGCACGAAGGGATTGGGAGAACCTTAAAAGGAAGAGATCTTAGTAGGGTTCGTAATGCAATTTGGGAAAAAATTGGATTCGAAGATTGACTTTTAACATTGATAATACTTTTATTTTATTTTTACCATGAATTTCTCATATTATTGGCTTTATTTTTCCACTTTATGCTTTTTTTTCTTTTTTTTCTGAAAAGCCTAGTGGATTGCCAAGGAATTAGTGCTTTGTATTTTTCCTTTTGAAGAGAAATTAAAGAAATTTTGGATCTAGTTAATTTTCAAAAATGCAATTCAATTTTAAATATATCCCTTTAAAAGAGAATTCTTGAAATGATTGAATGTAAAGTCGTATTATCTTCTCTATGGAAGAGGTGGCTTAGAGACATTAGAATTTAAAATGTATAGAATATGACCTCGTAAAGTCTAATTTGGTGCAAAGACCCTTTTATTAATTAAATTTTACGCCATCAACATTAGTGTGTAACCTTATTTTTGAGTAGGTAATGAATCGTTATGGGGATAAATGGCTTGCGTTTTGGCTCTTTTTTGAAAAATAATATTAATAAATAAACAAGTAAACGAGACTAAAAATGAGGATACGATAATCCCTGTTCGGTCACGTTCTCTATCCGCCTCTAAAAAATTAGACCCGCAAGAGACGGGAAGGCTAATCCCTACTTGTTGTCATCCCCACATAGGACCTATAAATTCATTACATATAAAAAAAGATATTGAATAGGTTTGGTGTGTCCAATAATTTCATAGCTGTGGAGAAATAAAAACGGTGGTGTCGTTCATTAATTATTAGTCCATCAAAGAAAAGTGCATTTCTTTTTTAATCTAAGTGAAGTGCCGGTCTTGTAGGAAATGCCAGAAAGTCGTATCATCATTTTGAATAAGAATAAGGGCAATTATTTAATCGAGGGTAAGGCAATGGCGTTTTATAAAAGGTGGCATGTCGTTTTCGTCATTATCTCCCTATCTTCCCTTTATGGCGACATGGAATATGAGTGTCGACATTGGTTACGTTACTTTAGCTGATATGAAATTGTGGTCCAGCTACATTAATATGCATTAATAAATACACGCCAATGTGTTTCTTTTTGGATATATTTCACGCATCATTGCTGAACTTTATCCTTACATACAATTAGATCATTGAACTTAAATTTCAAGATTTTAAAAAAAGAAATTTATTTTTTTAATTTTTTTATAGTATTTTAAGATCATTAAATAAATAAAATAATAATTATTCAACAATTAAAATCATAAATGCCATAATTTCTACAACTAGACAATTTTCAAATTTTAAAAATTTGACAATTCCAAAGTTTTCGACTAGACGCTTCTTACTTCATAAAACTGGATCGAACCACTAAAATAAATAAAATAATAAATACATAAATATACCAAAAATATGTTATTCTTCAAAATTTATTATATATAGACAAAAATCACTTACTAAACTTGATTGCAATTAATTTTTATTATGTCCACACTACTATCAAAATAAAATGAGACAAAAAAATAAAATAAAAATGATGTGCATAATAGTTGTATGAATTTAACATAATGAAAGTTCATTGAAAACATTGAAATTCTGTAGTTGCAAAAACTAGTAAGTAATTATAGTTTTTATAATTTTGGTTGTTTGATATGAATTATTCTATTTAATGGTCTTAAAATCATTAAAATAATATTTTTTAGAACATTGGAGTTAAAGTTTAGTGGTGTGATAGCCTCGAATTAAAAGTTCAATGACCTAATTACAAGTAACGTTAAAGTTCAATAATCGTTGATGAAACTTACTTTGTTGGTTTAGCATAACGCGTGGAGATTTTTTTCTTTTAACCACCACATCACCAATTCTATGAAGTTGTTGACCTAATTGCTTGCAAATTAAAGTGCATTGATGTGATTGCTCCGAATTAAAGTTAAGTACTTGATTATAAGTAAAGAGTAAACTTCACTACATCTTTTTTCTTGCTTTCACCTTCCTCGTTGTTTTTCATACTCTAGCCACATTAAATTTACATATAGGCCACTCGAGAAATTGTAGGACTTGAGTAGGTACTTGAGAGTACTTGAGTGACAAAGAAAAAAGATCGAGAAACCTTTTCTCAAATCAACGTTCAATTTTAAAGCAGACAATTTTTTTTCCCCATTTTCATTGTTTAGGGTGGATTGTGCATATCCATGTCCCACGAGGAGTTTTAGAATTATCCAACTCTTAGCCATTCAAAAGGTCATTTTCTTCTCGAGGAGAGATAACAACATAAATAACAATAGATGTTATATTTAATTTTACATTGTATATTTTCCGAGTTTGGTGATGTGAAATAATGATCGGTTGATTAGGATATAACGGTAGAAGTACTTTATATTCAAACAAGACGCTGTAATTGTAGCAGTACTTTATATTCAAACAAGACTTAAACATTCAAATATAAGAAATGAGGAAATAGTGGAAAATGACTTGTTGACAATACCATATTTCCACTTTAGCATTTGACCAGTAAATAGAATTAAAAAGAAAAAAGCCAAAAACATAATTTAACACAACAAAAAGGCAAACATACCCCTCCTTATATCAAACCACACTCTCACAGCCAAAAGAAGAAAAACCGAATTTTCAGTAGGTGAATTTTTTAAATTTTTTTAGTTTGAAAAATAGATCAATATCAGCAATGGATATTTCTTAGGTAATATAAATTATTCTTGGCCTACGAAATATACGTTGGTGAAGAGATTTAAATTTTTTTCAAAGAATTGATTACCCTTCAACTACGGATTTCGGTTCTTGAACGGTTGAAATTTTTTAATTATTAAAATTGATTAATATCAACAATGAATTTTTCATATGTAATATAAATTAATCTTCACCTACAGAATATCTGTTGGTGAAGATGCTGAAACTTTTTTATTTTAAAAAATTGATTACCTTCAACTACGATATTCAGTAGTGAATGGTTGAATTTTTTTAATTATTAAAATTGATTAATATCAACAATTGAATTTTAGTAGGTGATATTAATTAATCTTCACCTATGAAATTTTCGTTTGTGAAGTGGTTGCAAGTTTTTATAAAAAGTGATTACTCTTCTACTACGAATATTCGTTCGGTGAATGGTTGAATTTTTGTAATTATTAAAATTGATTTATATTGGCAATGGGTTTTCCTTATGTAATATGAATTAATCTTTACCTACGGAATATCCGTTGGTGAAGACGTTAACATTTTTTTTTTTTGAAAAAATATTAATTACCCTTCAACTACAAATTTTCATTTGGTGAGTTTTTCATTTAAAAAAACAGCTTTTAAAATTGATTAATATCAGTGACGTATTTCCTATAGGAGTTAATTTTCACCCACGAAATATTCGTTGGTGAAGAGATTGAAACTTTTTTGACAAAATTTGATTACCCTTCAACTAACGATTTTCGTTAGGTGAATGGTTGAATTTTTAATTATGTGATTGAAAAATAATTTAGAGAAAAATGAGTTATTAGAAAATGGGGATCAAGCAGACTTGGTTGTCTTTCAAGGGATAGATAACTTTATATATGTTCTTTTATTTATTTTTTTTTATTAAACTTTGTAGATATATGGTGTTTACATGAATGTTTAAATGAATGAATTTAATAAGGATAATATTGGAATACAACGTTAATAAATATAATAATTTTTAAAAAATTTTAAGGTTTTAATATGAATAGATTTAGAGTAAGTAAATATATAAAAATTATGGATGGAAATAACGATTTTCAATACTAATAGATGTACTTGTGGTGGTGGAGAATAGGTATGGGGTAGGGCTAGGGGTTGTCAATGTATATGATTTTGATCGGTAGGGCTAGAGTTGTCAATGGATATGATTTTGATCCGAATTCGATTTGAATCCAATGAAATTAATGTAAGATAAATTTATGGTCTCAATCCGATAACTCAATCAAGATGTAAATTCGATAATATGTTAACAAAATAGAGCAAATATTAATATAGGTCAATCCAATTCGATAACAACCTGATCCGATTTATTATTGTTGTTGATCCTTCTTTCATTTATGATTTCACCATTTTCTAATAGTTGTAGTTCGTGCAACTCGCGAGGGACTATTATATCTATTGCTTGCCCCTGCCTTTCGCTCTAGAAGGGTTTCTCTCTTCTATAAAGCGGAGCTTTGCGCATGGTGCTGAAGCGAAGAAAGCTTTCCCTGCTAATGAGAAGGCTCGGAGAAGGTAGTGTGGAACTTTTGACATCCCACATCGAAAGAGGTGGAACCAGCTCACTGCAAAGACCCAGTTGATCAGCATGTTCCAAATTGACACGTTGGATTGTAGACCACGAAGACCCAATTTCATGTCTGTCAAGTGGGTTGGAAATTCTAGTTCATCATATATTACCGCATAATTTATTATCAATGATTTATTTTTTATTTTTATTTTTATTTTTATTTTTAACTTGCATTATACTTTATGACTTTTAATGAATAATATCAAAAATATGAAATTTCAATAAAAAAATTAATATATATGAATCCTCTATTTCCCATAAAAAAAGGAATATGTCTAAAATATTTCGAATCGAATTATTTATCTGCTAACATAGCAAATCGAATATGGATTTAACAATCAAATATCCATTAAATTACCAAATCGAATAGAATCCATAAATTATTCTTATTGGATTGGATTGAATATGGACAGGTTTGACCCATATTCGATTTATTTACAGCCCTAAGTAGGGCCCACCCCTTATAGACGGAGAATGGGGATGTGATGGTAGGAAAGGTTTTTTGTCCATGTATGTGTCAGTGCCCCGATTTGTCTAATTTCTTTAAAATAAAAAAAATTCAAAATTTGCTAGTTCATGTTTCCGCCCAGCTTTTTATATGTACAAATTGAAACGACGCAACCTCGTTAGTCCAATTTTCAAATTATCCAATTTGTAAGGGAAAAAAAAAAATTTAATAAGAGGTGTTGCCTCACCCCGCCACTGCCTTAAATAGTGATCAAGTCGAGGACGGACGGTCCCCATCCCGTAACCATACCTTGTGAAGAGAAGGAGAAAATAAACTAAATTTCTCCGTGA